AGGCTTGTCTTGAAAAGGTACTGATGACTGAGTCATCCTATCATCCCAAATAAACACAGTGGCTATGTAAGGAGACCAGTCTTGTGAACAACAGTGAAAAAGAAAGAAAGGGAGAGGAAATTGACTATTACAGTTGGATATAGACATATGGCAAAAGTGTGGAAAAATGCAAAAGATATACTAAGTAGGCCCCTATACTGGACCCATGTAAGTGCTAGAATATGAATTAAAGAAAAACACAAGTATGGGGTCTTCCAGAAACACCTTGATTTCAGTTTCCCTGCAAAATACTAAGTCCCTATCAATGGAACAATTTGGACACTGTAATCATTATTCTTATGCATTATATCATAGAGCTAGTCACGTTTCTTTCTGCAATTTTTTCTCCAGCTTCCCTGTCATTTTTAGTATCAGATAAATATAATACTGAACTGCAAAAAACACTAAGCAATTTATTTTTCAGTCTGAGCTCAATTTACTCTAAATCCAGTGCTCCTTTGCACCACTCCATGCTGCCAATCCCCCATCTTTCTGAGGATACATTTCTCATTTTTTTCCAGATCCTTCCTTACTTACTGGAAATTACACTGGAATTAAATATTTTTTAGAAATATAAGCCAAAATATTTAACCAGTATTGGTTAATTCCCACTTTCTCTCCCTAGATAGTGAAGAATACTTGTCTAAATCATGAATAAGGAAACTTTTTCAGTAGGCAATGCACAATTGTATAGGTAATTCATGCCAAAGCCTCCTAATTCAGTGATTATGTCTTTCCAGGATGGTTATTAATCATTCAACCAACTGTAAGCAATGTAAACTGAATCTAAGTGAACTTACAAACAAAAACATTTATTAAAAGATTTTGAGGATCTCTGAAAATCAATAGCAAGGCTGGAGAATCAAGTAGGAACTGTTTCAGCTCTAAGCGACAAGAGCTAACGGAAGAATTGTATAGAGAAAGATGTCTTCTCAGACCAGCACCACTGGAATAAAAAGTCTCCAACAGAGCTCTGGCTCTTATTCTCTCAGCTAATAATTCAAATTCAAAGGAGGTCATTTGTCCAGCAAAAAAACAAAGCCAAAACACCAGATTAACAGGCCCCAAACTCAATGGAGGAGAAAAAGTAACTACTGGAAGTGTGGAAAAGTTCATTACTCTTGTTTAGTAGCAGTCCACTACCCTAGTGCTCAAACTGAAATACCACCAGCTAGTATGTGAGTTATAATAATAGAAGATTAATTCTGTCTGAAAAGCTTTCTTGGAATAATTTGAACAGCATCAACAAAGAAACAAAAATAACAAAAACCTGGTTCCTCCAATGTTCATCCTTACCTGGCAAACAAACAAAAAGTAACAGCTAACATATATATTGTCTAGTTTTGTGCACTGTGACTTACTACTTTTGTATGTATTATCTCATTTAATTCTCACAAAATCTGGGGTGTAGGTATTGTTACCACCCTCAGGGAGATTACATAACTTGACTTGTCTCACTGCTATCAAGTAATCTTCACACAGGGCCTACATTCTTATCCCTGCACTAGGCTGCCTGGACCCAATGGGACTGATATGGTTTGGCTGTGTCCCCACCCAAATGTCATCTTAAAATGTCATTCCCATAATCCCCATGTGTTGCGAGAGGGACCCAGTAGGAAGTAACCAAATCATAAGGGCAGCTACCCTTATGCTGCTCCCATGACAGTGAGTGAGTTCTCACAAGATCTGATGGTTTTATAAGGGGCTTTTCTGCCTTTTGCTCAGCACTTCTCCTTGTTGCTGGCTCGTGAAGAAGGACATGTTTGCTTCCCCTTCCACCGTGACTGTAAGTTTTCTGCCTCCAGCAGAAGAAAACTGTAAGTTTTCTGTAAGCCTCCAGCCATGGTGAACTGTGAGACAATTAAACCTCTTTACTTTATAAATTAATTACCCACTCTCAGGTGTGTCTTTATTAGCAGCTTAGAACAGACTAATACAGAGACTCAGCCACATGGATGGAGTTTTAGAGGAGGCAGAACAGTGTTGTGGATAACAACCATGGGTCTGAGTTAAAAATTTCAGGTTGGCCATTTACTAGCTGTGTGATTCCAGGCAAGAAATTCCAACCCCCACAACCCCACAAGCCTCAACATCCTCATTTGCAAGATGGAGTCATATCAGAGTCAGCATCTCATGTTGCAAGGTTGCACTGTTGTGGCAAGGAAGAAAGAGTATATATAAAGTATCTAGCCTTGAGTGATGAGCACGAATTAAGTGCTGAACAATCGATGGCCATTATTAGTTAAATGTCTGTCTCTCCTTATAGACTAGTCTTGGAGACCCAGGTAATTCTCTTGATTTGTATCCCTAGCACCTTTCTGTGACTGGCACATTAACAAACCCATATAAAATCTTCTGAACATGAGATGTGTATATCAGGGTTCACACTGCCACATTATAATCCAGCGTTATAATAAGCTCCTCTTTAACACTACAGCTCTAGGTCATCCCTGCTCCTTAAGCAAATGATGCATTATCCATCCCCCTCTTCCACTGGCCTTAGACTGTTACCTTCATGAGGTCAGGGTCTATATCTCTTGTTCTCCAGGTATTCCCAGTGCCTAGCACAGAGTCCAGTACATAGTAGGTGCTTATCGCTTATGGACTGAATTTTTAATAGACATTTGTAATATGTCTTACAGTTAACTTAGCACTTGCACATAAACATGTGCAGCATCTCTGCAGCACAGGTTAGAGACACGGTTTGGAGCCAGACTGCCTGAGCTCAAACTTCATTTACTAGCTGAGCAGCCTCAGGAAATATACACAGACTTTCAATTTCTCTGTTTTCCCACCTGTAAAGTGAGATTAATAACAATACTGAGTTGGTGTTTTAAACTGTTAATTCATATATACCTCATAAAACAGTACCCAGCACAAAATGAGTGTTCTTTAAATGTCAGCAATTATTAATTTTGTTTGAAGCTGTTTTTCCTCCCATTTAGCTGTCAAGAATAGATTATTCTGTCTGCCTAAATCATTTCTCTTTTTACAAAGAAAATATAAAAAGTGGCATATTTACCTCAAAATCCTAAACATTAATGTGCAGCAGAGAGCAAATCATAATCTCAAGAAACTGACTTCCAAAGCTATTTGGAAAAAGAAATGCATTCATAGGAACTGTTCTTAAAACAAAAATCCTCGATGGCCCTAGATATTCTGTAGTTTGTCTCTTCCAAATCATTTGTGTAGAGCCTTCCCCGGCAGCATTTGTCATTATTCTTTCCACAAACAAGAACAGCCATATTGACTTGAACATAAGTGTTCATGTGAGTAAACACACACACACACACACACACACACATACACACACACACATACACACCAGGCAAATTAATCTCACACATGGGCTGTCTCCTGCCTGCACCAAAAACCTCATTGCCTTATTAAGCCATAAACCATGTCAATTCCTGTATGCAGCTCCCCATCTCCTAGAGTATGAACCTAGAGATCAAGCCACACATTCCTTAAGGTATCACATGACCCAACTTCAAATGATACTACAAGGCTACAGTAATCAAGACAGCATGGTATTGGTACAAAAACAGACATATAGACCAATAGAACCGAATAGAGAGCCCAGAAATAAAGCTACACACCTACAACCATCTGATCTTCAACAAAGTCAACAACAACAAGCAATAGGGAAAGGACTCCCTACTCAATAAGTGCTGCTGGTCATGTGCAGAAGATTGAAATTGGACCTGTTCCTTATACCATATACAAAAATCAACTCAACATGGATTCAAGACTTAAATGTAAAACTTAAAACTATAAAAACTCTGGAAGCTAACCTAGGAAATACCATTCTGGACATAGAACCTAACAAAGATTTCATGACAAAGACATCAAAAGCAATTGCAACAGAAACAAAAATTGACAGTGGGACCTAATTAAAGACTTCTGCACAGCAAAAGAAACTATCAAGACAGCAAGCATACAGCCTACAGAAGGAGAGAAAATATTTGCAAACTATGCATCCAACAAAGGTCTAACATTCAGAATTTGTAAGGAACTTAAATTAGCAAGTGAAAAACAACCCCATTAGGAAGTAGGCAAAGGACACGAACAGACACTTTTCAAAAGAAGACATACACTCGGCCAACAAGCATATAAAAAAGTGCTCAGCATCACTAATCATTAGCAAAATGCAAATCAAAACCACAGTGAGATACCATCTCACAGTTAGAATAGCTAAAGTCAGAAAATAACACATGCTGGCAAGGTTGATGAGAAAAGCAAACATTTATCAATGCTGGTGAGAATGTAAATTCATTCAGCCATGTGGAAAGCAGTGTGAAAATTTCTCAAAGAACTTAAAACAGAATTACCATTTGACCCAGCGATCCCATTCATGGGTATAATCCCAAAGGAATATAATTCCTTCTACCATAAAGACACATGTACATGTATGTTCGCCACAGCGCTATTCGCAATAGCAAAGTCATGGATTCAACCTAGATGTCCATCACTAGATAAAGAAAATGTGGTACATATACACCATGAAATACTACACAGTCATAAAAAAGAAGATCATGTCCTTTGCAGCAACATGGATGCAACCGGAGGGCATTATCCTAAACAAATTAATGCAGTAACAGAAAACCAAATACCACATGTTCTCACTTAAGTGGGAACTAAACAATGAGAATACATGGACACAAAGAGAGGAACAACATACACCACAGATTACTTGAGGATGGAGGGTAGGAGGAGAGAGAAAATCAAAAAACTACCTATGGCATACTATGCTTATTACTTGGGTGACAAAACAATCTGCACTCCAGCCCCCTGTGACAGGCAATTTGCCTGTATAACAAACCTGCACATGTACTTCTGAATCTAAAGTAAAGGTTAAAAAATCCAAACCATCATATTTAACCCCTGACATTTCCCTACACATTGGAGAAATGAGGAGGAGAAAAGCAAAGGCACAGGGGGCATCTGAATGTTTCATCTACCTTCAATACTGTAATATTCCAAGCAAAGCTCTCAGTTGCTTTGTTGAGTTTTCTTCCTTTCAAGCCTTCTTTTGCCCCCAAATTATGAAGTTCTTCATGAAACTCCATCCCTTTGAAGAAAGAATGCATAAGAAATCTGAGTATATAGCTCAGAAAAATGGGCATCTTATAATGAAAATATTATCAGTAAAATATAATTTCACATTCCTGTCTTCTCATAATTTCCAAATCCCTAAATTGAACCATCCTTTTTCTTCTATTCATCCCAAGTAGCTCTCCTTATGTATAAATTGACAATAGTCAATGCAATAGGCTAAATTGCATTTAAAACAGCCAGGAGCCTTAGAAAAGGACATGAGAAGTAAAGAAGTAAATTCTATGGGTACAAAAAAATATAGGAAGAATGAATAAGACCTAGTATTTGATAGCACAACAGGGTGACTACAATCAATAATAATTTAATTGTTCATTTAAAAGTAACAAAAGAGTATAACTGGATTGTTTGTAACACAAAAGAGAAATGCTTGAGGGGATGGATACCTCATTTTCATAATATACTTGTATATATTACGTGCCTGTATCAGAACATCTCATGTACCCTAAAAATATATACACCTCCTATGTGCCCACAACATTTAAAAATAATTTTTTTTAATTAAATAAGTAAGTAAGAAGCAAATTCTTCCAACAGGTTACATCGACCTTGTTTGCCCTCTTCCTGGTTTATGCATGAAACGGCCTGATGTGTCAGTGGCAACCACATATAAGGAATCCATATGTATTATTTTTCTTTATGAACCATCCCTGTGGCTTAACAGTAGGCCTGGGAGCCCACATAGATAACAATAAGTAATTAGTAATGTTGACTAAAAATAAAAAAGGCTTTTTTAAAAATAGCATTCTGGGAAACACCCAAGTATTTCAGATTTGGGAATGACCTTAAGGTATTTTTAGCTCAACTATCTGCTCAAGTTTGACTATTACGAAAACCATCACCATCATGTTTCTTCAGTCTTTGTCTTAGCAGCTTAAAGATAGAAATCACATTCTCTTATGAACAGCTCATTCCACCTTTGAGAAGCTATGACTGATACAGAGCCAACATCTCTTTCCCTGGGACTTCTACTCCTTGGTGCTAACTGGACACAGACTGAAAAGTTCTAAATTCTTTTCTGCAGTGCAAGCTTTTAGGTATTTGAAGAAAGATATTGGGTAAAATCCCTCAGGTCCTCTCTAGGTTAACCATTCAAACATATTCAGGTTACCAATGAAACTCTTCTTTAAGGATGGCATCCAGGCAGGGCCACTGCATTGCCCAGTTTACTGGAGCTGAGCTCTGTGGGAACCTGTGTCCAAGAGTGAACACTGGACTCAAAATGGGCTGGGAGAAGCCCACATGAGGTTGGGGATCTATCAGCCATTTTCCTTGTTCTAGTTCTTGTATTTTTATTAATGTAACCTAAGACCACGTTAACTTTCCTGGTGCTAACATCACAAACATAGCACGTGGTAAAGAACATGAGTATGGAGCCCAGCTCTACCACTGACTAGCTATGTGAGTCTGGGAAAGACCTTGACATCTCTGGGCTTCAGTTTTCTCACTGGTGACATGTAGTTAACAAGTGGGTTTACCTCATGGGGTTGAGGTAAATCTTAAGGGAGTCAATACGTATGAAGATCTCAGAACAGTGCCTAGAATCATGTAAATATCAGGTATTAATATTTTTGTGCTTCCTGTCAACAGAAACATCTAAGCCTGCTGGTCAGTCTGTGAAAAGCACCACATTAAAAGTTTGGTCTAAATTCAAAGGGCAGCTCCACCAAGTGTTGATATGGGACCTAGGGTAAGTCAGTGTTTTAGAATCTCAGGTGCCTCATCTGTAAATCAGATATAATGATGATTACTGTGCAGAGTTGTCATGAGTAAGATAGTATGTGTGCTTGGTATAGCATATGTGTATGTATCAAGCAGTTGCTACTGTTGTCGTCTTCCTTGTCATAATCATTATCATGTGTGTGGATAGAGAAGCCTGTGGATCCAGGAAATGAAAGTACAGTGGTGTGGATGAAGATGAACTGAAATAAACAAGTGCACTTTCACAGATACGTGACTCAACCCACACTTAAAAAGAAAGAACGAATCTAAATCTAAAGTGAAGACTACTAAGGGGCAAAAGCCTAGAAGATTAATAGGATTTTGGTTCCAATTGCAAAACTGAAGTGGGTTTTAAGGGACTGTATAGAACCATAGCTTCAATATCAGCAGTACAAGGTTTTGATGGGTTCCAAACCACAAAATCAGATTCAGAAACCCTTATCCCTCTAGACATCTTCAGACACCACCCCAACCCTGTATACTCAAAACCCACCTATTATCACTTGGATTTTTTCTGTACTAAACAAAGACTAAAGTGTAACTTAAAGTATAGTTAAACAATGCCATAAAATAATTGAATTTTAAGAGAAGAAGCAGAAAGATTTTCAAAAAAAAATCTATTAAGAATTATTATGGTTTCTTTTTTTTTATTATTGTACTTTAGGTTCTGGGGTACATGTGTAGATCATGCAGGATTGTTGCATAGGTACATACTATTATGGTTTCTAAACAAAATAGAAAAAACAAACAGTAAAAATTAACAATTACCTGCTTTCTGACACTGTACAATCTTTTCCTGGACTGTGTCTGCCATTTCTATTAGAAACCGGCTCTCTTGAATCATCTGTGACAAAATAAACATCAAAAAGGTGGTTGTCAGAATCCTTGAACTGGCTCATTGGGAAGATGACATACAGAGAGACCCACATGATACCTCCAGTAACAGGAAGCCATAGTCTCACCACAACAGATGGGAGGGAGAAGGATAAGATCTGTTCCAACTCCCATCCATCCTAACACTGATGCTAGTGTCACCTTCTTTATGATTACTCCTTTGTGTAACATGCTTGGCACACATAAGCACCAAATAAGTAGCTGTTGAATAAATGTATATATTTATTATGGAATATATAAATATGGAATAAATGTATATATATATATATATATATATATATATATATATATTAAGGAAGGTATATACATTCCTTAAGTCCCAGGTCATATTCATAAACACCTAATTCCACTCCCTTAACACCAAAGATTACTACAACATCAAGGCAAGTGGTATTGGAACACAATAGCAATAAGAACCAGAATAGGGTTGTTTATCCTTCCAGAGGCAGCCAAGTCGCCTTTAAAAATACTATCTGCTCCATTTTATCAGCCCTGTCTCTCCTCTACTCAACTTCCACCAAAAAAAAAAAAAAAAAAAATGAAGTATCTCCTGTAGTCTCCAATCTCTCAAAGCTCCCTGTGCAGCACTCAAAGGTGGGTTTGAAGTTCCACTCAGCAACCAGCAGGCTCCAGTCCTTCCCATCTCACTCCTTCGTAAATACTACTTCCAGAATCATCGTCCAAAAATACAGTACTAATTAATTCCTGGCTTTATCATTTTCTCCCTTGCTTACTGAATGAAGTAAAATTTTTCTAACCCAGAGCTTACATCTCCCCATGAACCAGCTCATTTCCCTCGACAGCCTTTCTGCTATGATGTTCCAATTCCCCTAAGTCTCAGTTGACATGGATGAATCACGCTTCTCTAAACACTCCCTACTTGTTCCTCCTACTATACATTTCTTTCTATTAGGGAAGGCTTCTTAAGCCATCTCCCTTGGTCAAAATTCTGCCAGGCCTCAAAGCTCACTTCAATGCCCTCTCCTCTACTGATTTCTTGATTTCCCCTTATGTCTCCTTCTCACTCCCCAAATTCCCAAAACATTCTATTTTTTAAATCTGTTCATGGAATGTTTTATTTTCTATCTTATAATTTATTCTTCACCTATATTATTTCCATCTTTTTACTTCCTTAGTAAATTGTAATTCCAGTAGAGCAGGGACTCAATCTTATTCAGCTTTGGATTCCTAGATTCATCCATCCATTTATATAATCACCTTTTTCCTCTGTTTTACTTCTGTGATACTTATTTCTTCTCCCACTCTACTATCCACATATGTGTGTGCAAAAACATTTTATTTATTACTGACCACTTCTCAAACTTGTAATTATCTTTTTGAACTCCCATCTCTCTTTTTGTCTCTAGATTTCTCCACTCCTTTTTTGTCTAGGATTCCCCATTTTTCTATAATTTTGTATGCTCTTAATTCACTTTCAAATTAGGTACTAAAAAATGAGTATAAACCTTTTAACAGGATTACCCCTCTAGAAATATAATACTCAAACATCAGAAAGTAAAACCAATGTTAAAACTTTATTACATGCTTGAGGCAAAACAAATTCAATATCAAAACATACTCCAAAACCTTATAGTTCAAGTTCTCCTCAAAAGCCCCCAAGTAAATATTTGTTAATTCCATAGTATAAGGTGTTTCTGTCTTTTCCATTGTCTAATAAACATCATAAAGCGATAAAGCATAATTTAACCTCAAAACCAGCTTCTCTTTGAGATTCCTCAGGAGATAACCTGAAATCTTCTGGTACTAAAAGTCCCAAATTGTGTCTCACATATCTCATCATTAATATTCTCAGAACATAAAATCATTGCTCCTATGAAATTGTTTCATAGGAGCATTTGATTTTCTCTATGACAACACCTTCCACTCTATTGAGAATAATACATTTATTCTACTTTCTGCAGTCAACTTTCAATTATTGATAGCTATAGAAAAATCAAATGAGATGGATAGCTAAAATATACCAATAATCCAAACCATAATTTAAGTCAACAATTTCAAATTTTGCTCTCAACTAAGTAATTTATCTAAGTTGTCAGGGAGAAAAAAAATGGTTGATTTGAGTTTCATCTCCTTCCTACATCTCTAACAGATATGGGTGGAAATAAAATATAAAGTGCAAAAGCCAAGCAGAGAAGGTGAGAAGATGTCCTCAGATAATTCCTGAGCTGGGAAGTCAGCACACTCAGCCATGACTGCGGGGTTGACTCAGTCAATAGAATCTGGCAGTGGCCTGATTTACATATCTGATGTCTCAGCCTGAGCTGCTAGTTGCCTTTGCCTGTTGTAGTAATACAAAGAGCTTTTCTCTGATTCTGTCACATGAATATCTCCTAATGGATCTTATTGCCTTGACAGGGCTTTGTCTCTAAAAGAATAGAGGACTTAGATAAGAGTTGACATTACTTTATGTATTAGATGTATCCAGAGCAGGGGTGTGTAAAGTTGCCCATTAAGATTAAAATTATGTCTTTAAAAAGAAAAGTTTACTGAAGGGGACAGTGATGCTGTTACTCAAAGATGGATTAAATTGTCCAGCCTTTGTGAAGAAACTATCCTTCCAGCTTTTCCCACTAAGAAGTTTAATTGCCCAGAATCATTGCAGAGTCAATGAAACTATTTAATAATACTGAAAAGATGCACTTTCATCATATTAGGACTCAAAAAACTTGCATAGATTCCCATTTTCTCCTGAATGAGATCTAAATTCCTAGAACCACAAATCTTTCTACTTAGAAGTTATCTTAAAGACAGTCTATCACGGACAAGCACATTTTATAGATGAAAAAAACTGAGCTAGAAGTTGACTTGCCTAAAGCCACACGACTAGTTAGTAAAATAATTTAGACTAGAATCCAGGCATTCTCAAGGAGCAAACCATATTAAAGTGTAGAATTCCTATTGCAAGTACAAGTTGGTGATAAACACTTAATAAAGTAACATTCATCATATTAAGCATCATGAACATAAATTTTGCCATGGCTGCTTTTCCCTCGAAGTCTAATTCACAACACACATCAACCATCATAAATATCTTTTCTTTTCTTTTCTTTTTTTTTTTTTTTGAGACAGAGCCTTTCTTTGTTGCCCAGGCTGGAGTGCAATGGTGCAATCTCAGCTCACAACAACCTGCAACCTCCACCTCCTAGGTTTCAAGTAATTCTCCTGCCTCAGCCTCCTGAGTAGTTGGGTTTACAGGCATGCACCACCATGCCTGGCTAATTTTTGTATTTTTTTTTTTTTTAGTAGAGATGGGGTTTCTCCATGTTGGTCAGGCTGTTCTCGAACTCAGGACCTCAGGTGATCTGCCCACCTCGGCCTCCCAAAGTGTTGGGATTACAAGCATGAGCCACCGTGCCCAGCCATATTTTTTCATATGAAACTTAGAAAGAAATGTATTTACTTGAGCCCTCTGCTTTTTCGGGAAGGAGCTAGAAACTTTGGAGAAGCTATTACTCGAGAAAATGTGAGTCAATAAAAAGCTAATCTACTCTAGACATTTTTTTTTTTTTGTCCTTTCCTTTTCAGAACACTGGAATAATTCCTCTATCTCTTACTTTCCTGCTAAGCAAAAGACTAGGTTTTGATTCTTTGGTTCTGCAGTGGCTCATCTTTTCAGATCAATTAAAATAAGATGAATTTTATTAAACTTGGTATATTTGTAAATCAGATTGCTCTTATATATTTATTTGCTAACTAGAATGAAGATTATTTCCTTTAACTCACAAGTTCCTTAAATATTTAAAATGAAATAAATGAAAGCGCTGCTAAAAGATTGGCATCTTGTTCAGATTGCTCTTACATATATATTTGCTAACTAGAATGAAGATTTTTCCTTTAATTCACAATTTCCTTAAATATTTAAAATGAAACAAATGAAAGCATTGCCAATAGGTTGGTATCTAGCTTTTAAGCAATCAAGCCTGTCAATGTGGTCAACTCTCGGTCACACAGAAATAAGTATAAAGTCAGAATATTTGTAAGCTCACTGGAAGTTCACTGCCTTTGGTCTATGCAACAGAGCTCTCTGTCCTGGAACTAATACATCACATTTTCAAGCCCCATTTGTAATGGTGCAGGACAAGTGAATTCGCACACAGAATTGTGTCATTTTAAATGCGGTCAGAGGACATTTATCTCCATGTTCACAATGGTGACAAAATCTACTTCAGGGAGCCCTTTTGGCATAAACAGATCACTTCTTTCTCTTGTTTTGTTCCCCAAACAGTTGTAAGCTGTACCTTGAGTAGTCATTAGAAATACTTGTTTTTATCCAGGTGTCGTTACAAATTTGGCTCCTTCATAAAACTGCCAGGTGAGTAACCTTGGCAAGCCTTCTCCAGAATTTTCAGGTCAATTTGACTACCTTACTGCCTTTAACTAAAAGTGTTACAAAGCCTGAGGATTCAGTAATGCAAAGCCAACTTTGAATATGAACTTACAAAATTCCACAAAAAAAACAATTTGAAATACTTGCTTAAGGATATGTATCTCTGATATCCATAATCCTAGAGATCTTAGTACCAACTGAAAATTTTGCCACTCCTCAAGATACTGATAATTTCCCCCTCACACACAAAATACGTCCAAAGACATTGCCGTACCCTCATGTGAAGGAAGTTTCCATGCCCCAAGTGCACAGCATCTTGTTTTTAACCACCAAGCTCTGGTTGGGCATATGCCAAGCAGATGGGTCTGTTGTTGGGTTCTACAAGTGAAGATACTTTTTGAAATGCAAACTAATAAAGTTCCACACAAACTTCACAATGAGCGACAGTGATGGAAGGAGAGTATCTTTGACTTAACCCAATTTTATTTTAAATTGATTTTAATAAGCAAAACTAAATTGGGGAACTTATAGACATAACTACAACTCTTTTCCATCCTGAGACTGAATATATGCTGATTATAACACAGATATAAGAGAATGTA